CATATAACATACCTTAACAGAAACAAATACAAAACAAAATACATAATTTGTCCCCTTACATGACTACAAAGACATCCATTAGCACACAGACTGCGATACAAAAGCTGGGACACTTCCCCCACGCTCTTACTGCTAATAATAGCAACACGCTTATGCACATCTGCACATTTGACATCTGTTCAACACTGGGAATCAGCCAGGTTACATACTGCCTTTCCAAACAACATCATCGCTAGACAGACACAGGCTTGTATACGGAACGCTGAACTGTTTGTTAAAGTTGTCATGTATTTTAAGCAGACTAAATTCTCATATTATTAAAAAAGCTGTATAATGTTTTTTGGGGAAATGTTACTTCTGAGACACTTCTCTGAATGTCCTGTTTCCACATGTAATAGCATGAGACCAGCTCACCAGCTACACACATTGACTACACTGTACAAAAACAATGAAGCAAAAAAATGTAATAAAACCATAACTGGGTCATTTGTTTTTAAAAGAACAATCTGAAGCCTTCACATAACCTTTGGGGATTACTGTCTTAAGTATACCAATATCCCAGTGTGCCGGTTTTGTCTTTTTTCTAGACCTCACAGAAAAGAATATAATACATTGTTATTAAAACCAACAGTCTAATGTCATCCTTTACGACACTGTCAAACACTTTCTAATCAATCCTTCCATCAACAAGCTGTAAACAAAACCACCTCAGATCTCATCTGTGTTTCTCAAACCCATGTGTCAAGTTTTATCATTCACAAACGTTTTATATTTTACATGTATTACATGCCATTCTCCTCAAGACACCTACCTTTACAATCCATTCTGCATGTTGTGTCTCCATAACAGTCTACTACGCTTTCTCCGTCGCTCTGCTCTCTGTCCTCCCTGTAGTTTCGTTGTCTCTCCCTTAACTTTACATATGCTCTCTGCTTCACCTTCAATGTCTCATCAGCAGAGAGAATCCCACTTTGTGAAGACGTGCTCTCCCAGCTATCTGAACTGCACAGTCCTTTGGCCAAATACCCATCATCTAACTCCTTCTGCTCACACCTGTCCAGGTAGCACTCAATGCTGTCCGAGTGTTTGAATTCTGAGGAAGCATCACTGTCGTCCACCGCACTCGCTGCATCGATCCTGGAGACTGATTCCACTGGTTTAGACTTCCTCTCAGGCTCTGCCACTTGTTCTGTCTTTTCTGTCTTAGGGTGGTCGATTAAAGGTAAAGTGGAGGTTGTGATGTCAGTGGTCACACCATTTAGAAGCAATGTTTCAGGACGGGCCACTCTCCAGAAGCCCTTGGGAGGTGCCCAGTGTCTGGTTGATGTGGATGTTGATGTTGAAGAAGCAGAGGTGGTGGCAGGAGAGGAGGAGAGCACAAGTGGAGGAGGAGAAGGGGGGGGCTCCTCCTTACTGTTGCATGAGTTATCAGACAGAAGACTCTCTAGACTGGTGCCCTCCCCGAGCCCACATAGCTGGCCTGTCAGCAAACTGACCTGCTCCACAATTTGTTCTCCCCCTTCGTCTTCAGTTTCCTCTTTCTCCTGGAACAACTGCTGTCTTCGTGCTTCAGATGGAGGGCTGTGGATTTCCAAACTGACTTGCACCTCTACCTCCTCCTCTTCATCACTACTGCTCAGGTTCTTTGCAGTGCCTGGTCGCCAGGAAGGGGCAGGCAGAGATATCGGACCCTTTGCTCTGGGCCTCTGCCTGAGAAGGACTTCGGATGAAATCTGACAAGCTGGACTGCTCACTAAGAACTCTGTGTCCAACCTTTCTCTTTCTTTCTCTCGATCTCTCCCTCTTGTCCTTCTCTGTGTGAGGGTCTTCACCTTGGTCTGTAGTGCGTGCACAGCCGAACTCTGAGGAGAAGGAAGATGGGGGCTCAAGGAGGATGGTAGGAACACAGGTTCTGGGACAGTGATGAGTCCCCAATTAATGGGAATCCCGGTAGGTAAAGGAGAACTGGGTTTTGATTCGATTTTGTCGACCACCTTCTCTCCCTCCATTGGCCGGTCATGCACTGAAAAGTTCAGACAGTACATATAAATAAAATAAAGACATTTTGTGTACACATGCTGACAAAAACATGCCTGTATCATCCAGTCTACATCTCTGTTACCACCAACTTTCTATCTGGCTGTGTGGTGAGGAGATATGTAAAGTGGATTCAGTGATGTTGCCTTATCCACTGATTACTTTGCAGTGCACAGGATAATCCTTTAGAATGAAAATAAGCAACTGCTGCCTGCAACTGAGCCCCTGCACGAATAAACAATTTATGAATGTTTACTGTCAGGCAAAATCAACAATAAATCATGAAAACTATTATTCTCTTTAAATAAGTTACCTTTATGCATTGAGAATCATTAATTATTATTTATTCAGAAGTTGGAGAAATGTACATATTTAAAAATGATGTGTCATATTATGTAGATCATATAAATAACACATTGCTAAAAAAAATACTAAAAATGTAATGATGAGCTTCAAAGACAATCACTTAAACTACATTAAGTTACATAAATAACAGCGACCATAGTACCTGGATGTTTAGTAAAGGTGGTGTCCTTTAAAACACAGTTCCAACGTTGACCATCACGAGAAAAGTTAGGCTACCATAAATGCTGATGCATAAATGTAAGTTAGGCATCCATTATTTCTAAAAAAAACCTTCGCCAACCGTGCCGATATTGCAGCGCGCATCCTCAAATCCGTCGCCAATATAACGAGAAGACGGGCAACTTTCACTTCCAGAAAGCACGAGAAAACAAACACCATCTCTCGGTGTTTCTACAGATCCGAGTGCTGTGCTTTGACTGACTGTCAAAACTGCTCCAGGCAGGCGAGCCAGCGGCTCCTCAATCATGATTGGTCCGGTAATCCCATCAGAAATCAGTGGGATTAGAAAAAAATGGAATACAAAAAATGCCTGCTTTAATTTCGTCCTTGCCTCGCGAACCCGATGCCGAGTGAAGCTCTCTGTTGCGTAATAAACCAATGAAAAGCACGGAAAATAAAACTAAAATGGCTTAATGGGCTTGAGGCTAAACGAGATTGGTATTTTTAATGTTTTGAAATGCTAGGATGTGTTTTTTTTAGTATACAGACTGATTTTGATTCGTAAAAACAACTGCGGGCTGATTCTTATTTGTCGATCCAGCTGTTCCCTCTCTCTATCTCAGTTCATTCCAGCTCTCTCTCTCTCTCTCTCTCTCTCTGTTTGCAAAGACGCGTTGCGCTCGTGCACAGTCGACCTAATTGGAACAACGTTCTACTTGCCAGTTGTCAGAATCCCCAGATGTGATCAAACTCGGGCAAATGCTGCTGAGTTTTCTGTTGTAGCTGTGCATGCGGACATATGTCAGCAGAGGGCGCTATCATCACATACTCGCAAGCACACGCACACACACATCTTGCCCAGCTAGCTGTAACCGGCTAGCGAGTCTGTTGTCGAGTTGACACCCTCCTCCCCAAACCTCGGCAGCAGCTAAGCTGCACAGTCGACATGGCAAGAAAATATCGCAACAATTTCCTAAAGAAAGATGAAAATCTTCCAAGTCTTTTGGAATGAGTGAGTAGTTTTGACGATGACTATGGATTTGTCCAGTGATAATCTAATGCTAGAAGCCGCATGTTTTGTTTTAGTCACATTTATGACGCATAGCTATGGATAGTTGTTGCTACCGCGGATGGTAGCTAGCTAACGTGCTAATCGCTAGCAGAGGGAGGAGTAACGTTATGGTTTGTTCGCTAGGCTGTTACTTGGGTTAGCCGTTGTTGAAAACGGGATGGAAACACAATCCACAATGAGTATGAACATTCTGAACTCAATAAAATAAGCGTGTCTGGTGAAACTAAACATATTTCCAAGGCAAATTGGTTTTGAATGCTATCGTTACATAATCTCGCTGTTGCAAATCCAATGGCTACACTTTCCAGTGTCACTGGTTCTGCCATAGCTATCGTTTCCTTCACCAACACACAAGATAGTAACTCATGTTCTGAGCAGTGCAATTGATTCCTTGTCACATCTACATTTCTTATAATTACGTTGACACATGACCAACCAATGATAGATTTTAGAGTATTACGTTTTCTATGTTTTAATCGGACGACGTTTACTTGCTAGCGAGCCTAGCCAACTAGCCACCCATAGCTTAGCATGCTAACACTGAGCTAACGTTACCTACAATTAGCTAGCTAACGTATCCCTCGTATCAGATACATTTCAATGTGTGTATAACTAAACATTTATCTAATTACAGCCACGATAGAAAACTAGTTTAGCAAAATTAAAACTATTGGTTGCAATATGTTTTACAACTCTAATAGCAGACGATAGCTTTATAACAAGTTAGATAGCGCAGAGGGACTTGGTTGTTAGCCTCTTCAGGACCCTTTGTCCACAGTCACAGTGGTTACCAGCTCTTCTTAGTAGGCCACACAGCAGTTGTTTTGATCCTTCTCCGCCGGTAGTTTACTCTGTATCTTACACATATGTGCTGCCCCTCCTATTTTTTGTTTGTTTTGTGTTACGACTGAACACCAAATACCGGCAGTAACGATTATCTAAGGCAAATATTGTTTTGATGATATATTTTCCTTTGTTTAATATAGTATAGTACCATTAGCCACTGCCTGTTTAATGCATTTCTTAACTACATGTGCACTCGTACAAAACACAACCATGCTTTGTTATTGCACTGTTGGATTGCAAATAAAAAAAGAGTAATTGACGTAATTTTGAATTGTATGCAGATTTGTCAAAATCAGGGGATGTTTGCACACTTCTAATTATCTTTCTCTCTCTCTTTTACAGTATTCATCGTGCGATGTGATCTAAAATCCACAATGTGTGAGGACATTTAAGAATAATTGAGTTCGAAAGAAAAATCTTGATTCCAGTGGAATCTTCCATATATATATTATTATTAGATTGTTTTTCTCTGTGTTAAAGCTTACACACATTTACACACTCGTCCCATCAACATATAACCATGCCAGTGCAAGCACCACAATGGACGGAGTTCCTGCTGTGCCCAATCTGCACACAGACATTTGAGGAGACTGTTCGTCGGCCCATCAGCTTGGGCTGTGGACATACTGTCTGCAAGATGTGCCTGAACAAGTTGCACCGTAAGGCCTGTCCCTTTGACCAGACGGCCATCAGCACAGACATCGAGCAGCTACCTGTCAACACAGCCCTGTTGCAGCTGGTGGGAGGCCAGGTAAGAGTTTTTATATTTTCACACTTGTTTGGCAATTTGGGACAAAGATGTTGTGTTGTGTTGATATTTAAACACTGCCGGGACATTGTTGCGGCTAGCTTTTGATGAAAATAACAGCAGTGATGTTTTAACAGTTTAAGATACCATATCTATCTTGAATATATTATGTTTTTGCAATATTTGTGTATGGATTGCATTAGAGTGCTACACACAGGCTATTACATGATGCTCATAGCTTGGAGATTCCTTTATGAGTCATACACCAGCCATTGAGCAATTGCTTTAATTATGTCGGTTTACTGAGTGCAGGCACAATAGTTGAAGCTTTATTTTTCTGTGGTATTTTTTTAACCAACGGGGTGAGAAACATTTAATGGTGTTTGGCTTTTGTTGGCAAAGTTACCTGGTATACACTGTTTAATAATGGATAATGTCAGTGCGTCAACCATGAGCCGGTTATGTGTCTGATTTAGCTGCTGGAGGTGTCTTGTCTCTTAGCTTAGTGCCTTTCATCTATGTGGTCCTACATATTAGTACCCATTCAAAAAATATAACTTCAAAATAAAAAATTGTTATAATAGTTATTTACGTTTTGTTGTTGATGTCAATAACCTCATTTATCAAATACAATTCCTGAGAGCTTCAGGTTGGTTTGGTCAGTAAAAAAGCAAAAGGTCAAATGTAAAGTTTGTTAGTTAAGTTTTTCAAATGTTGTCATTGGTTTCCTAAAAAATGCACATGCATTGCAAATCTGGTAAATTGTGCTTGCCTTGCTACAAAGTGTGATATCGTATAGCAGCCTGAGCAGGAAAATACAAACATGATGAGAAATGCTCTCCCTCCGGTATCATTGCTCTTTTAAAAATTATCTTAATTAGCATTGTCAACTGGGAAACAAGCAATTCAACAAGCCACAGCATAGAGAGAATAGACCAGTACAATACAGTGATTCTTAAAATGTTAAATATTATTCATGTAGTCAGTTATTTCCTTGTTTTGACCATAATATCAGTATGGTTACCAATATACTTGAAGAATCAGTACACATTAAGTTTTATTATTTATTTATGTTTCAGTAGGTAGGGTGTGCTGCTCCGAGTTGGTCGATTTTTGTTGATAAAACAAAATGCCTTTGCAAGTTTAAAATATTTTACCATAACATTTCCTTATGGCCCTTTTCTGCCAAAATCTACCTGCATGTACACGCATTGGTATTTTAAAATAATTGGATCATTATTTAAAATTGTACTAAATGACATCACCTATCATGGTGGCTTCTGGCTAATTTCTCCCCCTCTGTGTGTCTTGCTTCAGGTTCCTAAGGTTCAGCCAGTCGCCTTGATTACCAGTCCAGAGGACTCGCAGCATTATGAGGAGGCCCGGCAGTGTGTGGAGGAGCTGGCCCTCTACCTCAAGCCCCTCAGCAACACCAGAGGTACACATACACAAGACAACCTGATTCTGTTGCTTAAAAACATGCCTATAAGATTGCTTGCAAAGGATGAATTATAAAAGAAGAATATTAATTGAATATGAGTGTATGTTCTAGGGCTGTGCAATTAATCGTATTTTAATCGCAATTACAATTTTGGCCTGCCACAATTACGAAAACAACATAATCGGAAAAAACAATTATTTTGTTTTGCTTGCTGGTGACAGTGCACTGCAACATATTTGATCTAATTAATTTTGGTCTAATTTATTTGTATTTATCATATTTATATATGTTTAGTAGCTTGTGGAAGTGCGCTCCAAAATATTTGTTGATCTTGTTTATTGGTATTTATTATTTTGATATTATTTATTTAAATGTAAATATAAATGTATCTTATTTTTGTATTGGTTTTTCAGTTGAATTATACGTTCAGGGTAATCAACAGTTAAAAAGATACTTTTCAAATTATTATTTGTATTTGTTTTAAAGTTCAATAAATGGATTTTTTCAAAGTCAATGAATAATCGTATTTAATAATCGTGATATCAATTATTGACCCAAATAATCGTGATTATGATTTTTGCCATAATCGCACAGCCCTAGTATGTTCCCTCAGTTTACCAGTTGTCTAATCTCTCACCAGGTGTGGGCCTGAGCAGCACAGCCCAGAGCATGCTGAGCCGACCCATGCAGAGGAAACTGGTAACTCTGGTCCACTGCCAGCTGGTGGAGGAGGAGGGCCGCGTTAGAGCCATGAGGGCAGCCCGCTCTCTGGGGGAGAGAACCGTCACCGAACTCATCTTGCAGCACCAGAATCCACAGCAGCTCTCTTCCAATCTGTGGGCTGCTGTGCGTGCAAGAGGATGTCAGTTTCTAGGGCCAGGTAGGTTTTCCCATCACCTGCAAATAGGAAAAGCACAATTACATTTTTTAGAGGAAGAAGTACGTACATTCTCTGTAAAAACTCGCTTAGGCATTCAACTGTTACTCATGGTTTTTATGTTTGTGTTATTTTCTCCCCCAGCCATGCAGGAGGAAGCTCTAAAGTTGGTCCTTCTTGCTCTAGAGGATGGCTCTGCTTTGTCCAGGAAGGTGTTGGTTCTCTTTGTAGTCCAAAGGCTCGAGCCACGCTTCCCGCAGGCCTCTAAGACCAGCATTGGCCACGTGGTGCAGCTCCTTTACAGGGCCTCCTGCTTCAAGGTATGCCCCTGACTGAGACCCAGAAGAACTTTTGTGTCAAATAGTTTATGTCATGTTGTACTGCTCCACAATAGGGCCCTGTTTTGCTTTTCAGTCATGAAAATGTTGTGAAAGACACAATAAAAGAGATCCCTGTAAAGGAAGAGGAAACAGAGTGGGGAAAAATGTCGCCTTACGCTTTCTTTCGTTCTCTGTTGCTACCTAGGTGACCAAACGTGACGAGGACTCATCCCTAATGCAGCTGAAAGAGGAGTTCCGTACTTACGAGGCTCTGCGGCGCGAGCACGACTCTCAGATAGTTCAGATCGCCATGGAGGGTGGACTGCGCATCGCACCTGACCAGTGGTCTTCTCTGTTATATGGAGATCAATCTCACAAGTCCCACATGCAGTCTATCATAGATAAGGTGTGTAAGATATGATGTGTTTTTGTTTGTAGGTCATGTTTTTCCCACATAAAGGCACATTTAATAGATTATGCATGTGGTATGCTACACGCTGCAGTCTTTTACTCCTACAAAAGAGATCTGTTCTGTCTCTAAACCTCTCACAGCACTAACTCTGTTTTTATGTGCTTTTTTACAGCTGCAGACCCCGGCGTCTTTTGCTCAGAGCGTCCAGGAGCTGACAATTGCGCTGCAGAGGACCGGAGACCCCGCCAACCTCAACAGGTTGCGTCCCCACCTTGAACTACTGGCCAACATTGATCCCAGTCCTGGTAAGAAACAAACACACTTTAACAATCTTGTTCTTGTAGTAATGGGAGAAGTTATTCATTCATTCTATAAAGTTTTGGAATCCAAACCGTGACCTCTGAATCTTCACAACCATCTCTCTCACACCTTCAGTAATATCCCTGTATATACATGTGTTTAAGCTCGGATGCCAGAATATTTTGGGATATGCAAAATCTACCAATTGAAGTATTTAGATTAAAGTATTTTTTCCCCTCATCTTTTGTTTCCCCAGATGCTCCCCCTCCCACTTGGGAGCAGCTTGAGAAAGGCTTGGTAGCGGTGAAAACCGTGGTGCATGGCCTGGTGGACTTCATCCAGAACCACAGCAAGAAAGGAGCTGACCCTCAACAGGTCAGTTTATGCCTTAGACCACAAAAAGTACTGTGCCCCATCCTATGTATGTGGCTTAATTAATCCAACCATCATAAGAACATCCAATGTTTGCTTGTGGTGGCTTACACCTTACTAAGAGCTTATAATAAATGTTACAATTGACAATTTATTTTTCCAGTATCACCCAGCCCTAAGTGTAATGTCAAATATCTCTGCTTTTTCATTGTTCGACTCTGTTTGTTGTTGCGCTAGACAACATCTTAAAAGGGTTTCAACATAATGTCACAAAAAGTCATGTGTCCTATATTTTAACAATACTTGATGTCTCTCTTTAGCCGCCCCAGCACAGCAAGTACAAGACATACATGTGCCGTGACATGAAGCAGAAGGGAGGCTGTCCTCGCGGAGCCAGCTGCACCTTCGCTCATTCTCAGGAAGAACTGGAGAAGTGAGTCTGACACATATCAACATATAGGATTTAAATAAGACTTAGCAGTCGGAATGAAAAATTCTATCAACACCCAGTTTTCCTCATACGTCTGAACTATTTTTTATGTTTTGTCAGGTATCGTAAGATGAATAAGCGTCTGGCAGCTCGCCTTCCTGGCTCAGGTGGGCTCATGACAGATGATGGCCTTCCTCTTGATGTAGCAGTGACTAGGAAGCCCTCCCCACTCACCAATGGTAGCGGTGGACCCTCTTTGCCTCAGCTTATTGCCCGCGGCACAGAATCAGTCCCGTATGAACTGTTGCGTAAACCCATGAAGATGGATGGAGGGAGTCCCAATGCCCCAGGATCACCACCAGATGGGTGAGTGAAGCATTTTCTGTACATTTAATTATTTCTCAGTAAAACATCAGGCAGCCGCGTGCCATGACGTCTGCAGATATAGAAATGTTGCATTTCCATAAAGGAAGTAAAATGGAAATACAGGAAATGAAATTTTCCATATTGATTGAATAGAAGAACTTTGTGTCAGCATAGCGTTGCCTGTTAAATATAGGCAATGCAAAAATAAAACCGTAAACATTTATATTCACACTTTTTGACATAATTTATCAACTGATAATTCATTGGTAAAACTATTAGTTGATCATAAGTCAGTAAATACAGTTGCTGGCACTGTATGGCACACAGTGGTTGATCATTTACGACTTTCTTTTAACCTGATATTTGTTCCTGTAGCATGGATCCAATGATGCCCAAACCTGGTATGCCACCACATGGCATGGCCCACCCCAGGATGCCAGTAGACCACCTCTCTGGGAAGCACATGCCCGTGGTAGCCAGAGGCTCGCCAGTGTACCCCCAGGCACCGCATCCTGATATGTGCTACGACGCTCGCCCGCCACCTTCTGCTTCTCAGTATGACCCCCCACAATACCCCTCAGGTAGGTGTAAAATAATCTGAATGCACAACGGGATCCTATGTCTGTGTAAAGAAAGTGATGTTTATGGTTGTTTTGCTTTTTATTTCTCAGGCTACCCCTACCAACAGCCACCACAGTATGTCCCTCGGGATTACATGCGTAACCCTCCTCCCCCTAGTGAGTCAGGACCTCCTTACCAGGACCCCTACCCTGGCTACGGCCCTCCAGAGCGCCCCTACCAGGCCCCTCACTCCGGTCCACCTTTCTCTTATCCACACCCTCCACACCATGACCGAGGTCGTCACGGGACCTACTCCGGCCCCCCACCTCCCCCGCAGCCTTACCCATCTCAGAGGGATGGCATGGTTAGAATGAGTCCCGCCCCTCTTGATATGCCCCCTCCATCAACAGGACAGGGCAACTCCCTGTACCACCAGGAGCCCAGTAGCCGCGATAGATACCCTTCAGATGGCTACTACACAGCAGGTGCCCAGCCTCCACCCATGAGGACTTATGTCAGAGTGAGTTGGTTAAAATGATTCTTCATTCTGACCGTTTGCTTTTAACTTTTTGTGATAATAACCTAGTTTCAAAACACTAAGTAATTGCCTGCAGTTCACAGTAGTGTGTGTGTGTGTGTGTGTGTGTGTGTGTGTGTGTGTGTGTGTGTGTGTGTGTGTGTGTGTGTGTGTGTGTGTGTGTGTGTGTGTGTGTGTGTGTGTGTGTGTGTGTGTGTGTGTGTGTGTGTGTGTGTGTGTGTTGTGTGTGTGTGTGTGTGTGTGTGTGTGTGTGTGTGTGTGTGTGTGTGTGTGTGTGTGTGTGTGTCTCTCTGTCTCTCTGTCTCAGGGGCCATCATACAGCGGTTCTCAGCCCAGCCTGGACTACCTGCACCGACGCCGGCAGGAGCTGTTATCCCAGTTGGAGGAAAGGAAGGTCATCTCCCCTCCACCCTTCGCTGCCTCCCCCACTCTTCCTCATTCCTACCCCGGTGATTATCCTTCAGAGGTAAGCACTAAGTGAATTTCATACTAGAGATGCACCCATTTTTGGCTCGATCGTCTCTCCTCTCATAAACTATAGAATACACAAACATTTTTGTAACTTTACTATGACATTTTCACTGTATGGTAATAAAAAAAACGGACTAATTAATAACTTGCATGTACTCCACAACTGTACCAAATTATAAACCGCAATTTGATATATGTAAAGATGAAATAACGTTTAGTACATGTAAGGATGACGCCACTTTTTCTGTATTCTGTGTTTGCAGTACGGCGAGGAATCCAAAAACATGGTGAAGTGCAGAGAACCTGACTACGCAGGGCAGTACTCTCCCTGGTCCTGTGAAACCATTGGCTCCTATATTGGAACAAAGGAACCCAAACCCAAAGACGTAATGGTTCCTGGTTCCATGGACATGATGGTGAGTTCAAATGAATAACTCAGTAACTATATCCGGATGAAAAATTAAAGAACTTTAAAGGGCAGTTTAATAATGTTACAAGATTGCAAGAAGCTATGAAGGGTAAATAACCTGAACAAAATACAATACTGACAGGTTTGAAAGTCACTCAAATGTCTACATATTCTTAACCTCTCCATACCTTTGTGTCTAACAGAATGCGGAGGCTAAGAGTCTGAGGGAACAATCGCTGGAAGCCCCTCGTAGGGGTGCAGAAGTCAAAGACGATGACCCTATTATTCCATTTGGCCCCCAGCCCACTGTTTCCCGCTTCGGAGCCATCTCCCGCACCTCAAAGACGGGCTATCAGACCGCAGGCCCTGTGCAGGCTATGGCCTCCACCCCCCAGAACCCAAGCTCTAAACACATGGCCATGCCAGGTAAACAACTGTGTCCAAAACAACATTAATGATAGACCCATTTATATCAAGTATGTACCATGTTATTTTTGTATACATAGTACACATTTTCCCTATCAATGTTCACACTGATCACTTTTTCACCTTTCTAAGTAGAATTTTTGCAACATTTCTCATAGTTTTGGTGTTTGTTCACTAAAGTTTGGCATTATTAAACATGTCTGATAACCGTTTGACCTCCTCTCCCACAGCAGAATACCCATATGGAAGCCATGGAGGATGGGGTGGAGCTTCATACCCCTCCCACCAGACAGCCTCCTCCTCTCAGGGACACTTCAGCGAGCGGTGAAGACTGCATCTGTTTATCTTTTTTAATATTCATATACTGAGACTAATAACACTTGAAGGAAAATATCAGAACTGCATGTAGAAAGGTTAACATTTGTGGCTTATACATATAATTATAAAGCAGTTGTTTCAAATTCTTGATGTATTTCCCCCTGCCAGGCTACCTATGGCAGCTACAGACAGAGAGCAGTTAAAGATTGAGCTGCAGCAGGTCAACCAGCAGATCAACCAACAGACCCAGATGCGCAGCATGGAGGTGTGTATGCTCTCTGACTAATAAGACCCCCCAGGAAGGCCTGTAAAGTATCAAAAGAATAATCTACAAATATGTTTAAATTCCAGACGTGATGACAAATGTGTGTATTTATGTCCCTACTGTCATTTAAAATGACAAGTGATGTGATGAATCTAAGCCATTCTGTCTAGTCACTATCAAAATATAGTCAACACGGTAATATCCAGTTTCCATTTCACACTGCAGCACTTTTGCCTGTTGACTATTGCCAACAAATTCCTAATTGTGCACACATCCTCTTAACTTCCTGTCTCACTGTTACAGACTGCCAGTAACTCCATGCTGCTGCAGAGGGAGGCAGGCCAGCCGGGCCAGGCCGCAGCTCAGCAGCAGAAGTGGCCAGCAGGAGGCGTGAGCACAACATCTGTCTCCAGTGAACAGCTGAGCATGGAGCTCCACCAGGTGGAGAGAGAGATCGGCAAGAGGACCCGTGAGATGGCCATGGTAAGGGGGGTGGGGCTGTTGGAATTAATTGGGGTGAAACAGTTTGACTATTTATGGAGAGAGAATTTGGGATATGGGGGGTGGGGGATATTTCAGTATATCCATCTGGATCAATAGTCAATGCTTAATATCACAGCCTCTGGACAGTACACATGAACCACTATTTAAGCATCCCAACTGCTTCTCCATGAGGAATCGTTGTTACAATATACAACTCATATTGGCACCAGGACACATTTAGTTGTTGTGGTATGGGCCACGGATTGAGACAAAATAGGGTTCAGCTGGATCAAATATTTTGTCACAAACAGAACACTTGTAGAAGAATAATGAGAAAAGAACAGGGTTTTTTTTACCAGAAACTAAGCATATCTTATCAATGTCCAAACCAGGAAAACCAAGTCGCCCACGATGTGCAGCAGTACAAGATGAAACCCTCAGAGAATGGACAACAAGATCACAAGACTCAGCTGGAAGAAATCTCCATGGCTCTTGGGTGAGTAAACACGTACTTGAACATAACACTGTGTATATTCCCTGATTGTGGTTTCATTAACCTGCCCTCCTTTTGTCCTCCTGTAATTCAGCGAGGTGTCAAACGGCTCTAGCAGTCTGCAGGACAGTGCAGTGGGCGGGTCCATGCTGTCACTGACCAATAAGACGTCTGCGATGAGCCTGTGCTCTGATCCAGGTGCCACTGGTTCAGAGATGCAGAAGAATGGCGTCGTCCATTCCTGCTCTTAGGCAGCACACACACACACACACACACACACACACACACACACACACACACACACACACACACACACACACACACACACACACACACACACACACACACACTCAAGATGCTCAATTGAAAAGCATGCACAGGCACACATACACCCATTCTATTTAGAAGATGAGCAGTATCTGCCGTGATATGAATTTTCTTTCTTTTTGTTCTGTGAATGAGCTTTTTTTAATGACTTTCCTTGCCTGGAAACCAGAGCATATGATAACATTTCTCGTGTTAATTTTTTTTTTTTTTTTGTACTGGGATAATAGATTAACAAGGCTCACAAAAGATATACCAGGAAGAGAAAATGGTGGTGATGTTGACAGTGGTATTGGTATTACATTCTAAAAAGATAGGCCCTATTCAATCCTTAACTAACACAAAACATATTCATGTATTTGATGGATACTCCCTAGATAAGATTTTTGGTTTAGCTTACATGTAGACGAAGGGTTGGATAACAAGGAGCAGATTACCAATCACTCTGAGAAACTTCTCTGTAATCTGACGATATATGAAGGTATTGTAGGAAACGGCAGAAGTGTGTCACTTGGTACTCAACCCCATAATCGTAAAAAAAAAAAGAAAGTGGTTGTCCAGATGTAGATGGTCTGAGGAGGAAAACACAGTATTCAGTATTCAGCTGAAAAGGAGATGCAAGGTGTGACAGGAACTACCTTCACATGCACGTCCTCACCTGCCACAAGAAGTATGATTTTATTAGTGCATTTTATGAACACATGTCTGTTTCATACTTGAGAGCAGTATATAATATATTTAATTGAAGCATTCTGTTTTAAGGATTGCAGCAAGTCTTTTTGATAATGAGCTTTCCACATGTTTTCTATAAGGGAATCTATTATGTGCTTCTCTTGGTCGTGGTGTGACCTGATGTGGTTCGGTTGCAATGCCTGAGCTCCCAGCTGATTTATGCCGTGAGATTTTTCACAGCATGCTCAAAAATGTAGGTTTTTTTTGGGTGAATGCACATGATCAGGCTGAGAGAGAGTACATCTGTCTTCCTCAGGCATCAGGTGAATGTTGGTCTTTTATAACGCAGGCTAAATAAGGATTTCCCTCCTCAGAGCTTCTTGTCTGGCCACACAAAAGGCCTCCCCATTGGGATTATCTTGTCATTTGTTCTCCTAACTTCTATGAAGTTGCCTTCCCTTGTGTTTTTTGTTAAATTTTGTTTTCTTTTTTCATGCTTTACGTTGTTACGATTTGGGGTGTGGCTTACCTAGTGAAGGCTTTTTAGAGCTTAGCTGAACGCGTGTCGTCATGAAGTTGTAGAAACCCAGATGTTATGGTTTGTACCCTGTAACTGTATCATTATGAGCTAAACAGTACATTTAAAATCATGTAAACAGCTGAGAATGACTGTTGGTTACTGAGGGGTAAACAAAACCAACTTTCAAAGATAGATTTCCAAATAGTTAGCAGTTGGTCGATTTGATATGTTAATTTATAACCCGTTGAGTATAAATCCAGCCCCTTTATTGCTGAGTATTACAAGATTCAATCCACATTGTCCTCTTTACACCTAATGTCAACATCACCACCATTACCACGATTCTAGCTCTTCCTCCATCATGTAAACTGTTTACTGCTGATGCTCCACATTGAGCTCTTTGCCTTTTGTAAACAATTAGCATGGTTGGCTACAGTTTTACAGCTCTGCTGAGAGCGAGTGAGTCCTTGTGTTTGAACGGTTGAAGGATAGAGGAGACGCTCTGGGTCAAGTCATTTAAGTTTAACGTTGGGCCTTCGTCTCGGTCAGACGAGGGGTACAAAGTAACTGACAGTTTGACAAATCCCCTGATAACTGATGAGTCAAAATAATAAAGACACATTTTTTGTGTCTCATCTGAACTGTTAGATGGGCATCTCTTCCAATTTGTCAGCGCCACGATAATGGATGTTTGGGTTTTTCTTTTTTTAATTTCCTACCACACTTCAAGCCTCTGGCTGCTCCTTGCTACATTTATTGTTTAGGTACACAGCTCACTTATACATATGAGTATGTATACATACATTAATATACTAAAGCACTATTAATGTGCCACCTCTTATTTTACTCGCTCAGCATTTATATTAAATGATCTCTACTTAGAATCAGCAAAATGTTGTTGTTTATTTTTGTTGTTTGATTTGTTTTCTGTCCACTGGTTGCCAACACAGACTTTATCCTTTCCCAGACGAAGGACTTCTGTGCGCATTGATGTGTGTTCACTTAATCTTTTGTGTTCAAACAAAGATGTTCTTTATAGACTATGCTTCCGAAGAAGACAACATTCTGTAACTTTGGAAAATGAGACGTTTTGTGTGTGCTAGAATGAATTGTAGAAAATGTACCCTTAAGTTTTTTCTCCCCTCAAAGTGTGCTGTACTGGGTGATAGTTTTGAGGTATTAGCAAAGTGTTGGGGTTTTATTCCCACCCCTGCCCCCAAGAGGATATTCAGGAATCTCTGATGACAGGTTGGCCTTAAATCCTCTTGCTATGCTCTTTAGCTGCTTTAGGAGCAAGAGGTCATCTCAAAAATACTGATTAACTATAAATTGGCATGATTTAGAGTCGTACAGAGGGACTCTATTAGACCCCCCCCCCCTCTCCCTTTTGAAAATGTCTTGTAAAACAGCAACATGCAAATAATGCAAATCGTAAGATTTGAAGAAAGTGTTTTTTATTATTTTTTAAGGAAATGTTGTTGACCTAGCTCGGTTTGTAGTTCTTTTCTCTTTCTCTTGTTTTTTTGTTTCTGCAATAGTTGAGTGAATTTACTGACCTGCAAGTCTTACATTCTTTGATACATCATCGACCTGATGTGTAGTCAACAGCTAAGAGTGACATTCACACAATAGTGTTCTTATTTGACAAGTATTTACAATATATTGGCCCACCAGCTTAATTGTGCTGTTAAAATGCCATGAATTGGCAACACATGGTGTTCATTTAATGACATTTCTCACTTTCTCTGAGTGCAAGTCAACCAAAAAGATCACAATGCTGATTCTATCTGATTGTCCCTGCAGGTCTGAATGAGCCTAAAACGCCTTTAGCTTATCAGAACTGCCATACAAAGACGCATGGGGTGGTTTACTACAGAGAAAATAGCAAAGATGTTCATTTCAGTCTCCTGTGTGTTTTTGTTTCTGAGTGGAACTGCTGCCTCGACCCCTCATTTACACAACCAGTTAACCCCTCCACTCCCGCCCTGACCACTGAACTCTGTTACTGCTGTTCGAGGCTCACATTTTATTCCCTGACTTTCTGGGGAAATTCGCAAATGGCTATTTTATATGATTACTCCCTTGTAAAATATCTCTTAAATTAAGGTACAGGTTTGATTTCAGCAAGAAAAAAGAAGTTTTTATATGTATATTATACTCCATTAAGGAATGTCTAGAATTATCTTCCTCCAATGTGGATGTAGCCATTATTACGCCATTTTATGACTTTGTAAGAGAATTCACTGTGTGAAAATTGGTTTGCATTTTTGTATAATACAATCTGCTTTTTTTTTCGTTTGATACGAGAGGGAGGTCAAACTGGAAGTTTGAAGAGAGAAAAAATGAACCTGTGAAATTGAGAAAACAAAGTGTAACTTATGTACAACAGTGATTCTAAGCTGAGGGGAAAGATTAAATGATATTGCTAACTCTGAATGTTTTCGTCATTGTTTTTATTTTTGCTTTTAACAAAGAGCAACTCCAGCTGTCAGTTTCTATGCAGTATGAAAAATTGGGTTTTATTTAGTCATTTCTAGGTCTGGATGAGTATTGAAAAAATATAAGAGTATTGCAAAATAATAGAATCTAGACTTTTGCCCTTATTCTTTTTTCTAAGAATTCTTTTTTTTCTTCTTTTTTTTTTTCTACAAAATAAACGTTAAACTTACACGACAACAGAATAACTGTTTTAGTTTTGCAGCTTAAATAAAAACGCTGTTCATTTACACTGTCTGGTGTTATTTGATTTGTATTGCATAAACTACAGTCTTCAAATATTTCCAATCTTTTGCAACATAAAAGCATAAACAGAATGTTTAAGTTGTTTAAATACAAGACATTTGCTTAGGTGAATGAATGAAAACAGTAAAATAAAAATAAAGCAAGGATTGCAAATATCAAGAAATCTAACTATAGAACAGCAGAAAAAAATACTTAAAATGGACACAAGGAATACATATAGATAAGAGAAAAGACAATACAAATATGAATTAAATACTATTAAAACATATACAATATGAAGTAAAAGTCGAAGAGTTTGCCATTTAAAAAAATGGTAAAATATGCAAATGACACAGGGAATGTACAAAGCTTCACAGTATTAGTATATGCCAATATGTTATCCCAGAGATATTAGTTAATTGTACACATATCCCATTCAATATGTTACAATTACAAAGCTAGTATGCCACAGGAGAAGAACTCCCTTCTTTCAGCAAAAAAGACACTCACTTTTCTTCTTAAATGTTCTAGCATTTGTTACTCTACGTGTGTTGAATCCCACGTCACATGTCTTCCATCATGCAGGCTTCCCAAAGCAGCCATGTCTGACTCCTCCAGCTGGAACCCGAACACCTGAGTGTGAGCGAGGAGAGGAAGAGAAAGAGGTAACAGGAATTAGTGAACATTAGTTAGAGTTGGGACTGCCCCACTGCCTGCTCTCCTGAGAGAGACCTACAATCGGTAACTGTCAGTACATTTCACGATAATAGTTTTATCAACCTATTGACATTTATTAGGATCATCTGCTGCTCAGGAGAGCAGGCAGTGGGGCAGTACCAACTATAACTAATGTTCTATAATGTCACATCCTTTTCCAAGAAGAAAATTTAAAAAATGGGTACAATTCTGAAACAGAATACATATTTGATAGTTATGCTCAGGCCTGAAGTTGAATAGTAGATTTAAATGTTTGTTATGTTATGGCAGTTTTTAAGATGCATATTTTAGTTATCTAAGAACATCAGAGGATATTTTGTAAAAAGCAGCACAAAGTACAATACTAACACATACTTTTATCTTTATTTTGTGTGTTAAACGTTTGCAATTTTCTTAAATGTGTTTGTGGCTGCTTGATTGGTCCATCAAAATATAATTAATCGTCCTTAACCTTTCTTAAATTCTTACGTTTTCTTTATTATCTTAAGTTCTACTATAAAGCAAACAATTCTGTAAAGCATTGTCAACTCACTTGACAGTTTTCTCGAATTCTCTTCTTTTTGGTGGATTTGGGTATTGTAACAACTCCATTCTAAAGATGAAGGAGATAAAACAATTAGAGACATAGGTGTTAGGCCAGTTTAACTCCGGGCAGGCGATATCTAAACATCATGACAACCTGAATACTCCAGCGGATGCAGATCTGAGCGGGGGTGTGTCCATATTTTTCTGCCATCTGGAGAAGAGTTGGGTTTCTGAGGACTTGTCCCTTAGCCAAAGGAGAGTAGCCTTCAAACACAATTCCCTCCCGACGACAGTAACCCATCAGCTGATTGGACTGCTGGAAAGGATGATACTCCACCTGTTGGGTCATACCATTTTAAGGATGAATCATAAGTTTACATTTGAAACTACATCACTTTCACCATTGGTAAACACATGTATTTAAAACCTTCTTGTACATGAATATTTGAAAGTTATTGGTGTGGGAACGAGGAATGATCTCACCTGAACTGAAGGCCTCCATGGGCTTTTTTCCATAATCTTATTTAGGTTTTCCAGGAGAAAAAAAACCTACCTGGTTAACATGTGGCACAACACTACAGTCTTCCTTTAATTCTTCCAGGTGGTGGACTTGAAAGTTGCTCACTCCAATAGCACGGCAAACCCCTATAGTGACACACAGGGATACTTCACAACAATCCTGCTTGCTGAAGTCACTCATTACATATACTTTTTCAGACATGATCTTCCATGCTCTGTACCTTCTTTATAAAGTTCCTCCAGAGCTCTCCAAGTCTCAGCTCTCATCTCCCTATTTGAGCAATTACATGACTGCAAGGACTCTGGCCAGTGCATCAGGTACAGATCTGAAAAACGGGGCAGGTAATTAGAGAAGAGAGAAAACAGATTGCATAAGTTGTTGAATGAAAAATGCCATGAAAATATGGAGCAAAGAATTCACAATTATTGAATTATTGGCTCTAGAATAACAATTATTCTTTGAAAAAGTACATCTTCCATAACAGGTTAATAAAAGAAAATGGGTGGTATTGCAATGATAACATAGAACACTTTATTTTCTGATTAAAATCTCTTAATCAATCACAAACATACCGAAATAATGCAACCGCATCTGTGAGCAGGAGTCAAGGCAGGCCTTCTTTGCAGCTTTGTATCCGTAGTCCCCTGGCCACAGTTTATTGGTGACCCACAGATCACTTCGTGGTATTCCACTTTCTATGATAGCCTTACCCAGTTTCTCCTCGCAGCTGTAGCGTTTTGCTGTGTCAATATGGCGCACGCCACACTCAGTGAGTGCATACACAATGGCATCATGAGAGAAACCGCCATCATGTGATGTGCCTGGTGAAAACAGAGAAAAAATACCAAATATAGGCAGCTATACCCAAAAAATGTCAGCTCAGTTCAATTGAATGTTTTTAATTGATTTTAAAACATTTAATTGTTGTTTTTGCTGGGAGGGCTGAGCATAACCAGAAACAGTATTGCCAAAGCACTATATGAACAATAACTCTTTATTCAGAACATTGTAATTGCAGGTATATTCAAATATTTATTTGTTTAGAAAATAAATAAATAAATAAAGAATTTGTATGGTTTCTAGCATATAAAGACAAACGTTGCTCTGTGTGTTGCAATGGTTTTCATTTTTTAACATTAGTGTGTCCCCAGAATGGCATATTGAAACTAATAATAATAATAATGATAATAATAGTGAATAAAGCAAAAAAGATTAGCAGTATAAACGCATATTGAAGTGTTTTGTATTTGCATTAGAGTAATGTGACAGGTCAGTTATTAACTAAAGTCCAACTTACCAAGTCCAAGTATTGGAATCTGCAGACCGTTGGAAAGTGAGACTTTAGGAAAACTCAGGTGTGCTGCAAGAGTCATGTTCCTTTGTGCAGTGTTGAGCAACCTGAATAACAGAAGAAGTGTTATTCTTTGCTCCAGTGGTCAAATCTGTATGTAATATCCATTACAACCAACCCGTTACAAACATTCCAGCAACGTAACACATACGATACTAAGCCTTATTATCATATATTTAAAACAGTCTTTGTCGGAAGCTGTAAGAATTTGCAAGTTTCTAGTTTTGTGAAGTTTTACCGAAAGTGTTTTCGGTTCTTTCCAAATCAGAGTACACATTTCAAACCAGTATCTCTGTAGCTGGGGAGACGTTCCTCCAACCGTAAATCCAATCACATTACATTCACGCCTATGGGTAATGCCTTGATTTAGCAGAACAAAGATGGCGTCAGTTAAAATAAATACTAAATATGCCCACGTGAATGAAAACTCATGTACATGTCATTAACGTATGGAGTGTACAGAAAAAGACTGAATTAAAAGGCTCAGTAAATTAGCGATTTTTCAGGTTTTTTAACAATACAGCGGTTCATTTCCTTAGAGCTGTGATACCCACACATGCTACGTAGCGCTAATGACACAGCTCTCTTCTTTCAGGCTCTTTGGTCAGAGTCAGTCAACATGGCGACCATGTGAAGCGAACGCTCTGGGTTTTGCCAACAAAATGAGGTGAGTTTGAGTTATGGGAATATATATGACATTACTTTTACTCTCTATAATGCCATTTAATAGCTCTTCCATGTGGTAGTACGGGAAACTAAACTCACAGAAATAATACTGGCATACTGTAGGCCTATGTGAAACATGAAACTGGTTTCATCATACAACAAGACATTGTTTGGTAAACAATCATTTCAATCTTGCTAACAGAACAAATCCCCTATGTGCAGCGGTTCTTGACCACTTAGGAAAACGATTCTGGGACTCACTAAAATAAAATAAACCCACTTACTACCGTTTTCACTTTACTGACGACAATATTTACCAGGCTATGGACATGTAGTTACTTCTGAAAGTTCCAGTGTTTTCTGAACGCCTGAAAAAGTGATTCCACAAAAATAAGTTGCAGTTGCATTAGAGATAAATACAAGCATCCCTGTCTCGTGTGTTACTCATAGTCTATTTTAAATGCTAGTGTTCTTGGACATCCTAAACAGAAGCAGCATTTTTAGTATCATTTAGTAGAAACTTACAATATCTGTCTACTTATTAGATTGAACGGTTTTTATTTATTTATTCAGAGACCAGCCTTTTTCAATTTTGTGTTAATATTTGAGACTTGTAACATTTATATTTGTAATAGAGCATGCAAAATGTGGCGTCTGTTGATGCCTTTTATTGTGATACATGCATAAAAATGAATGCCCGATCCCATTGTCTCAGTGTGAACCAAACCTGGATATAACTGTAATGGGATGCCCTTCCTTTCTGATGCAGGGTCCTCAGGTGCTGCATGGGGCTACGTCGAGCCTACTTGGTTTGTCCCATCCTGCTGGTTCTCCTGGTTGGTGCCTCCCTGACCACTCTGCTGCCGCCTGCGGAGGACCAAAGAGGCATTGGCGTCCTGGGAGTGCTACGCAGAGCAACATCACAAAAGGAGGATCCTGCACAGGGCCGCCATGGCGACAGCACAGAGGACGAGCAGAGGTTCACCATCATCATCCAAACGTACAACCGCACAGACATTTTGCTCAAACTTCTCAACCATTACCAGGCAGTGCCTCATCTTCAGAAGATTATTATAGTCTGGAACAACATTGGGGAGCAGACACCCCTAAAGCTATGGAACTCTTTGGGGCCCCATCCGGTCCCTGTGCTCTTCAAGGAGCAGACCATCAATCAAATGCGCAACAGACTACAACCATTCCCTGAGATTGAAACTGATGGTGAGTATATTTTCCAGCTTGCATATTGTTTATGTTAAGTGGTAGTTGTACTATAATTCTGTGCCTTTTTCAAAAAAAAATCAGAGTTGTTTGTTTGATTATTTTCTGTTATCCTTAGCTGTTCTGATGCTGGATGACGACACCCTGGTCAGCGTTCCTGACATCAGTTTTGCTTTCTCTGTCTGGAAGGTAATAAACTCTACATTTGGGTTAATTTGATAATTGATTATGTACATTAAAATGCATCGGCATTATCTGGTACGGCATCTTACACAATGGTTGTGGCATTAGCAGGTACAGCATTAACGGTTTTGTCTTTGGTTCTAATCTGCAGCAATTTCCAGACCAGATTGTTGGGTTTGTCCCACGGAAACATGTCTCCACACCAGGAGGAGTGTACAGCTACGGCAGCTTTGAACTGCAGGATCCAGAAACAGGTGGAGGTGACAAGTAAGTTGTGCTTTTTCTTACTTATCATAGTTTTTCAAGCTTCCCAAAATGCATAATATTAGCTGCTGATTTGGTTAATCTTACTATGATGTGGAAGGCCCTTTTTTAATATGGTTATCTTGATCCCCTCACTGCAGATACTCCATGGTTTTAGTTGGTGCTGCCTTCTTCCACCGTCGCTACCTGCAGCTCTTCCAGGACCAGCCTCCAGCAGTGCATGCGCTGGTAGATGAAACACAGAACTGTGACGACATCGCCATGAACTTTGCTGTAGCGCTGTACTTAAGGAAACACTCCACAGGCAGCGTTAACAAACCCTCTGGGGTCTTTGTCAAACCTGTGGACCTACGAAACCTGGAAAAGGACGCCCGCAGCGGGTACCAGGGCATGTGGCATCGCCCTGAACACCTTCTGCAGAGATCCTTCTGTCTCAACAGGCTGACGCAGATCTATGGCTTCATGCCCCTCTGCTTCTCCAACCTGATGGTCTCCCAGTTTGGATTTCCCAGCTATGCCAATCACAAGAGTAGAGGGTGATGATCCGCAACACAGCTGATTGTTTAGGATTGAAAGGAGACAAACTCAAGTAACAGTCGTAAGTTTGACTCTTCTGATCGCTGCATATCTAGAAAGCTCTAATTCAAGTTCAAGAGACAAAATATTTAGTTTTGAATACATAGTAGTGGGAAAAACAGTAGTGATTCAGAAGAGGGTGAAATACAGCAGAATGTTGTCTTCATGAGAATATCTTTGCTTGTTTGCATTTCTGATTAGTCTCTCCCTTGCATCTGCAGGACAATCATGGATTTCGGACAATCTGAATTTTCTACTCATGGCCCAGTCTGATGAAATGTCCTTATGTGATAAGGTAATCTGTATAATGTTACCAAAGCTGCCTTTCCTTCAGTATGAACACCTCTCTCAGTGGATCGTAGTGCAGTTATTTTACAGCCAGCAGGTGTCAGTCTTACATCTGCAGACAAATTGCCTCGTTTGTAACCATGATTTACAGCTCTGAGGATGTCTAGTTAAAATGTTTTGGTTTTACTGCATTTATAGTTGTTTATTTAATGTATAAACCTTATGTACACACCCTTCCCATTTAAAGAAGATGTCGTTATTTTGTAATTTCCTGGCAAAAATAGTCCCAGCCAGTGTGCATTTGTGAATGAACTAGAATAACTGCAGGTATTTCGTACAACCTAACGTAATCTTAATGTACAGTACTATGCATGCATTGACAATCAATTTTGAAAAAGCAATGTGTGCACATATCATGTGACTCTGTTAAATAAATCCAATTGTTTTTCTCTAAACAGAAGTTGTGGATGAATTTATAATTATGATATAAGTTAATAGAAGAGCTTTTCTGGAAACGGGCTGAACAGTAGCATCTCATTTCTGAAATAAACAAAAATCGCTACTTCATGGCTTTTTCACCAAAGTGTAGAAAGAGTTCCCTTGTCAGGAATTATATCAATGCAGACTAATCTTTTCTTATTAAAAAATAAATAAAATGCATTATCAACTTTGATTGTCATCCTGTTTTAATGGCGACATAAGACCAGCCCACAGGACTCTACATATATTAAAATAATTTCAGCAATTGATTTATTCACTGACTACCGCACGCACACAGTTTCTGTCCAGTTTTATACAATTGCTTTTAATAATAGGGACAGTAAAAAAAAAAACGGACTTGAAGGCTGAAGATTAAGAGGTAGAGGGATGATATTTTCCATTTGTATCTCCAAGGAGTTACTTGAAGGGCAGCAGATGTTATCAGTCCACACAGTAAACATCTGGAGTGTCACCTGTTCAAATTCCAGATCTCTGAATACCATTAAATAACCTTATGCTCATTACTAACCTTGAATAAAATCTATGTGCAATAACACACAATAACATCCGACTCTCTTGTTGATAAAAGTGTCTTTGCATATCCTTGGGTAACTGTGGACTCCAGTTTTTATTTTTAAAGGAACAGAGATCTTGCAGAGTCTCATTTTGGTCCAGGTCCACCATTGACCCCAGGCCCTCCTCCTGACCTGGATCCACCGGCACCTGGAGAACGTGCTTCATGCCACAGCTTCACCAGAGGCTTTTGCTTCCTACAGATCAGTTTGTGACCGTATGTCACATACCATCTGCAGGAGAAGATATAGGGGTACAGTTAAAATGTACTCACTGCAGGACAGGATACTACCAAACATCATTTATACATAATCTATGGAGTTTTAAATCTGTTTCCACTCACACTCCAAAGAGGGCTCCACCAAGGTGAGCTGCGTGGTCAAACATCCGCCATCCCAGGACGAGCCCTGCTGTATCCATGGCGATCAGCGCTTTCAGAACCTAAATGCAGACCAATGACATGAACCCAAAGTTACACACTGGGACTGACTAAACTCAACAACAACTGTCTGTAAACCATGCATTCAGACATGATAACTCACACACACACTGCACTTTGTCTGTTTTTTTTTTGTCATGCACAGATTAACATCTCTTTCCTACAGCAGAAAGACAAACACACTATTAAATGCATGAATTACCAAACTATTTTTTATTCAGATTAAGCTTTAGAGGTGTGTATCTACATAAAAACAGCACGCGATGCAGTGCATACGAACATGTTTCACTTACGTTTCCTGCAGTGACAGCCACCATGGGGAGGAGGATTATTCCTAGTTTGGCCTCTGGCACTTTTGTGCAGACTGCAGCCAGTACTGCCATCACAGCACCTGACTATGGAGACAATAAAATACAGAAAAAAGATAAGGCTTATTGTTCATCTTTTTTTGTTGAGGTGTATGATGATTTTAACAGATATCTTACCGCTCCTAATGATGGATGCAGACTTCTAGTTGCAGTTTTACATGTGTAGCTGACCATATTGGAAATCACACCTGAAAATACACATTAAACTTGAGATGTCACTTTTCCCCAAAAAAACGTTACAACTTTAATTTCCCTTTTTTTTGTCGAACTGACCATATACCAACTGGTTCCAATACAAAAACTTGATAAGACCTAGTCTAATAATATTTAGTAATTTAGCTAAAAAGTAAATGTGATATCTATACAGTATGGTGTTCTTTTAATTTAATGTATTAAAAATGATGTTATATATGACTTGAACTGCCCTAAAACATTGAAAGTGAACCTAACTAGATTAGGCTAGGGATGAAAATGGATTTGGGTTTGATAGATTCAATGCCGTTTTATCCCATCTTTATTTGACTCACCAGCCGATAAATAGAATGCGAGAAACTGCTCCCATCCTAAGATGGCAACGATTTGTGATGAGAATATCCACAGGACAGACATGTTGGCCGCCATATGGAAAATGGAGTAGTGGCTGAAGGTGGACAGGACCATAGGCAGGCACCGTGTTTCTGGTGGGAAAAAGAAAATAGACAAAAACAGAGAACCTAGTCATGGCCAGCGAATAAAGCTGCACATCTTCCACATGCAAGAAAAGCATTGCCTTTACTGTCATATCGCAAGTCAATTCTACATTTTACCAGTACGGGTATAACATGCATACTCACTGGCGGCTGGATTGGACGTGAAGTACTTAACCATACTTCTTTGCATCACAGGGATTCGCCAGCAACACAGGACTACAGCATTCAGTGCAATGATGCCTAGAAATAAATAAACAAGGAAAGCTCCTGACTATTAAAATATAAGATTATGAAACACATGTAAAGATGGTGATGCTAGCCATTTCATCTGAATAAACCCAGGGTCTAAATAAATCTGTCTCTGCAACATGAGTTACCTGTTACAGTCTTCTGTCCCTTTGAGAGACTGCTCCAGAAGTCATCCACCATGGACACGAGGAGGATGAGCTGCCGCTGGAAGCCTGACAGCTTGTTCCACCAGTCATGCCAGTACGTCATATCCTGAGACCCCCCATGAGATAAGAAAGGTTAACTCAGTCGCTGTGAGCAGCCTATTAGGTAGTATTATACATACCAGCAGTGTGCATCATTAAAACCTCACCTGTGAGAATTTTTCGGACTTTTCTTCATCTTGTGCAGTCCTGACTAATGACCTCAGGGTCTCGTATTGCAGGATAGCCGCGGCACCAAATGAGCAGCCTGTAAACTGACACGGAGTCAGACAACATCCAACACATTCAAACCGTCCCTAACCCCAGTACTGTCTGTTCCTTTCTAATTCTAGTATATTTGGAGGACCTACCCCTACTGTGAACATCAGCGGTTTAAAGAGTGACGGCCGGGGGACTTTGGGAGGAGGTGGGAGAGATTGAGTGCCAGCCTCCGAGGGAGAAACTTTAGTTTTTTGGACAACATTTCCTTTCTTTGTATCCGGCCGTTTGGCTTCCTGACGGAAACCGTACCTCTGTTGGTAGTGTGGGATCTCTCTGCAAAGAAAGTGTTGACAGTTTTAAAAATGTATTTACAGATAGCTTAAATAAATACATTGAAAGACAAAAAACCTTTATTGCGTTAGGGGACATTATTTGACAGCCCTGAAATGAATAAATGAAACTAAAATGTATTTCCTTTACAATCAATAAGACAAAAAAGAATCAAACCCTGCAACTGAGAAGCTGTAATTAATGCATATTTGACTTTTTGTAAGGAACAAAAGTTAGGGTTAGCAAAACAATTGGTAAAGTAAATTGTACAAAATGTTCTGTTTTCTAATAATTTAAATAAAGCAATAGCCCCAGTAAAATTATAATTGTAGCTATTATAACTGAGCACTCAGGCTTAGAAAATAGCCCTAATGACCTGATTTACCATGGACTATGCCTATTGGTCAAAACCATAGATCTTTATTTAGTAGGCTTTATATTTGTAATGGTAACAATAAGTTAGTAGAAAAAGCGTTGTATGCATTTTGCTGCTTGATCAGCCTCGAATATGACAGACAGAAACAAATGACACAGACGGTCGGTCTTTCTCTGTAAACAAATGAAACACACGGCTCTCTGCAGCTCGGTCTCTTTACAATGACAGTTAGGTAATCTGCTGCTCGAGACACACACACACATCATGGTCCCGCCATTTTTATTCTTTATAAACCCTGCGACTGTAGAGTTATAGCACTGCTCACCTGGAGCTTCGTAAAGTCGTGTTGGTGGATCTGATTAACTCTGTGTTTACCCATTTTAATACACATCCTCTCCACGCCATGTTTGTGATGACCTCCTTCCGGAAGCCCGTCCCACTGGAATAAATGCTGCGTTCAAGGACTCGCCCAAAAGCTTCTTCTTCTTCTTCTTTAGTGTTTATTGGCGGTTGGCAAACCAACTTGTAGGTGCATTACCGCCACCAACTGGACTGGAGTGTGGACAAGAGACTGCAGAAAACAATAAACAAAAGAAATAAAACAAAACAAAACAAAAAACAAACAAAAAAAAACCCCTCTAGATTATTTTAAATGTATCAATTTCTCTTAAAAACGTAATAATCTCACAATACATATTGCCTGATGTTTTCCCTAACAGCCCTGATAGCGACAAGTCATGGAATTTTGCTTTCTTCAGTGTCTGGAAAAGCACATCTCTCTGAGTACTATATTTCCTGCAAAGCAGTAAACATGTTTCTGGCTGGCTACAGTGTATACACTTTCCGGTTGGATGCTTTCCTATTCTACTCAATGTATGATTGAGCCCTGTATGACCTATTCTCATCCGAGAAATGACATTTTCCTCCCTTCTTTTAAACCCCACCTTCCTTCCATTCCATCCCCCACATACCTTTGAATGTTATAAAGATGTCTTCCTGTATCACTAAGGTCCCAATGTTCTTGCCATGTTGTTTGTGCATATTTATGTATGAATGTTTTAACCTCCGCTTTGCTAAGTGGAACTTCTATGTCTATGTTCATAATTCTGAGTGTTTGTTTGGCCAGAATATCCACCTGTTCATTACCCTCCACACCAATATGAGCAGGAACCCAGATGAAACGAGTTGCTATGCCTTTGATTTGCATTTTATATAAAATTAGAAATATTTCATTTATTATGTCCATTCTAAATGAAGATCTGCCTGATCGTATACTTGATAATGCTGAAAAACTGTCAGATGCAATTACACTATTATGTATTTCTTTCTCCTCTATCCATTTCAATGCCAATACCAATGCCCACAACTCTGTCGTGTATACTGACACATGGTCTGTTACCCTTTTCTTTATATGTGTATTACTCACTGGGATATAAACTGCTGCCCCTGCACGCCCTGTCTCTGGATCTTTGGAGCCATCTGTAAATATGATTGTTGAATCTGAGTAATTTCTTGCAAAATAATTCTGGACTATGCGCCATACTGGTAGTAGTTCTTTCTTTTCCTTCAACTACGAAACCCACTTTGATATGGGGACAACAGAGCTTTACTTTCTAAGATATATGTTAACCTTTCTGTAACCATTCTTTCCATGATTTTGCATAAATGAGATGTCAGGGCAATAGGTCTAGCTAGATGGATCTGAAGGGTCTTTCCCTGGCTTTCGGATGGGCACTATTATCGCTTCTTTCCACACTGAAAGAAGTTGGCCAGAATCCCACACCCTATTAAACAACCTTAACACAATGACTAGAGTCGCCCAAAAGCTCAGACTTCTGGGTTCATCTAAATAGCTCTCGGTGTAATAAGAAATACGTTTTAGGATTGTTTGGAAAAAAGTAACTGTGTTGTTATAACAATATAATGTTATCTCCTTGTATTTACTCCAATTGTTTAATAGAACTGTAATGCTGTGTAAGTATTATATTCTCAACTCTAAGCGAGTTGTAGCCTACATACTGTGTACAGTAGGCCTACTTTATACTCTACATGTCAGCTATGTATGCATCAATGGAATTAAATGAAGTCCATTGTACTAATTTTGAGATATTTGTTATTTACTTGAGTATTTATATTTGATGCTACTTTGTACTTTTTACTTCACTACATTTATTTCACAGCTTTATTTACAAATTACTTTATAGATTTTGATTATTAGCTAATATGAATCCACTAATAAATAAACACATTTATATTTTATTATAGGTTATGACATCCAGCAGTGGCATAACAAGTAATTCCAATTAACTCCACCTTTATCAGCTGTGATAAAACATTAATGCATTAAAAATCATAATCCATAATTCTATATGATTCTGAAATGGGCCACTACGCGTAACAAGTAGTTGATGTCAATACTTTTGTACTTTTACTGAAGCGGGCTATTAAATGCAGGACGTTCACATGTGACAGAGCTCCTGGAAACCAAACAGTCAAACTCCTAGGAAGAGTTAAGTATACTGGACCAAAAAAGTGGAATCTGAAATAATAGACGAGAGAACTTGAATGCAGCAGAACATGAAGGTCTCCGAGTTGTGCAGACACTACAGCATTTGTCGTTTATCCATAAAAAGCATTTCACTTCCCTCTAGTGGCATAATAAAGAACAGATTAGGAAGATGCAGGGGGGGTGTAGCCGCTGAAGTCACAGTATTGGAAAGAACATTATACTGAGGGAATTAATTGGTTCCATCCCACCGGACATCTGAAGTACTGACTCTCTCTCCATCTTCAAATCACGTCTCAAAACATAGATCTTCACACTGGCATATCCACCCTGATCACATGACACATCCTCTGTTCTTATTGATTATATTGTCTTGTTTTTCTGCTGGTGTTCCTGTTTTGTGCATCTTGTACGGCGACCTTGAGAGCCTATATAAATAAAATGTATTATTATTATTAATGCTGTTTTGAAATACGTGTCTTTCCCTTGCCATCTTTTACTTTCACTAAGAGGGAAATATTGTACTTTTTACTCTACAACATTTATTTGACATCCTGTGACATAGCCAGAACAAAATATGCTGACTCTGCCTAACCCTTTTTCACAGTACACATTTTGACAACGTAGGAAAAGTAAAACTTTAAATAATAACATTAAAGATGGCTGAATTCTATGTAACTGCTTTAGTTTCAGGATCTTACATTAAAACAGTATGTTTTCATTATTTTATTATTTAGGATCTAAATGCATGTTCCTGCATTGAAGATGGATTAAAGGTAGAAATAAATTAATGTTAAAGCTTTGAGCAAAGAGGTGAATATGATGACAAAGATGAAGAAAATAGTAAATGCACTATAAAGAAATATGATAATATATCACATTTTCTTAAGAATGTCGAAATAATAAAAAAATTATGAATTATTTCTCATTATAAAAATACAATCATTTGGCAGTGTCTTCATGAAAAAAGAGAGAATATATAGTGTAGGCCTTGGACTAAACAGTATTGATGGCACTATGTTGCTATTGGCATCTGGACAAGTTTTCCAAACTCCTCACAAGCTTGCAAGTGACTCCAGAAATAGTCGAAGAAGGTAGACTTTACAGGGAGATGGCTGCACTGCAGTGTCTTCAGAGTAACTGGGGCTCTCCTCCAATGTAATACCTGCACTTGACTTACTGGTTATTTTAGCTATAGAAAACATTGCACAGAAAAATGACGTAATAGACCTAGATGAGAATAAAAGACGTTTACGAGTAGATGGGTAATTAATCTTAACTGAGGCAGACAATGCATCTTGTAGGGGCCATTTTAATACCATCGCACTTCTATGAGACAATGATGTTGTTATACAGGCAAGCGTTGGGTTCCAAGGCAAAGATACGGTGCACAAGGAAAGGAGAGCAATATGCCTTTGCCCCTGTAAAGACCCAAGGACACACTGCCAAGTTAGATGATATCCTACGGGTGCAGGTCTAGGGCAGGGGAGGACAGGGAGATGTGGGAGGAGAGGAAGAGGAGGAGGGATGGAGAGAGCAGAGCAGGGAATGGAGGGATGACAGTGATAGGAGGGAACACAGGGCGAGGTTGGCCATAAAGAGGAACTGAAAGCTAGGAGAGTGGACCAAAAGAGGGTGAGAATCATAAATATTTAAGCGGCCGTAGAAGTTAATTTAGGTAAGGGTTGTATGACGCTGCAGACCTGTTAAGGAAACGACACAACCCTAACAGAAACACATTTATCTCTTTCTGAATCTGTTTAGGACCAAATAGGTTGCGTTCTGATCAATGTGATGCATTTTTTTGTTTTTGCAGCATAGGTGTCTTCTTTCAGATCCCTTCATCGATTTGCTGTGAACCGACGCCAGCCAGGATTTGTCTGCGTTTGCAACAGGGTAGCAAGGCCTCGGTCATGTGACAGGAAGTGTCTAAAATCAGAACAACTTGTCATTCATGTAGAGGACACTCATTCTTCAACTATGGCTGCGTTTCAAATTGCCTACTTTTTCTTTCCTTTAGTATTTTATGTGGCTTGCAAAGTGCGTACTGTTACATGCAGTATGCATACAAATAAGAAACACTATTTTGTCATAAGATTGCAACTTTCTTTGGGTCAAAATAGAGGGAAAAAGCATGCTAGTTGCATTCTACAATATGTAAACAGATGCAGGGACATCTTGGTATTTTAGGAATATTGCATTTGACATAACATGTGATAATGGGAAACACTTCATATTTTTCTGGCATAATAAATAATCTGTATGGATGTAAGGTTATTGTAATGAGTAGAGTGAATAATAAAGCAACTGTGACATCTGGCTCCAGTGTTTGTGTTGTTTATCAGGCAGATGCACGATGCTGAACGTCATTTGGCCTTGAGGCTTCTATTTCATCCCAAAGGCTAAGAACATTTTATACCAACAGCAGTCTTTGTATACCATCAGAGGAAACTCAAGCCGTTATCATACCATCCCCTCAGAATGCTGACTGTGAGCTTTCCAAGACACTGATCAATGGGCCCGTTAGATAATACCACACTGTGACTTGTTTACTGTTTTTTCCTGCGTAGATTTGGAAACTCTGTGGTCAGTCTGTGATTTTGGCTTCCTTTGGGAAGCAGTGCGTAGCTGAGGTACACTATTTAGCTGTGTGAAAAGGACACTGATAACTCCACCAATACAAAGCCTTGCCTTTATTTTACCTAAATACCACAGAGGACAGCGTGACAGCATCAACCTCTCATTCTACATGATTAAGAGACACTTCAAAAAAAAATGGTGTATGTGAAAATGTTTTTGTTTGTTTGTATTTGGGGTTAAAAAACATCACAAGATAAGAGGGGCACTTGATGAAATATGAGAGAAGTAAACTACCAAATCCAGTATATCTCACACTGAGTTGATACTTAACACGGGCAACTTCCTGAAGAGCTTTTTGCATAAATTACAAAAGAACAGCTAGT